AGTATTTCAACCCTTGGGTGAGTGAGTGTCTCAGACGGAGACGCCCGGAATTCCCCTGCCTAACCGAGAATCAATTGTGCCCTAGGGAGTTTCACTGTGCTACGACCAGCGATCCGAGGTGTCCCGATTTTCCCACTTCAGTTAACTCGCACTACTTCATATCCCCCGGCTTCATGGTTATTGCTACCAACTTCCCTCCCTTCCGCCTCCTTCTCCCGTATCACCAGCTCACAGCAGTCCCATGGAATTCCATCGCCGAGTACTGGCCCCGCACGCCCTGTGGAAACTGTCAGCAACACCGCCAGCGCGGCAACCGACGAGCCCCTGAAAACAGGAGGCCTAACCCAAACATGCGACGACAGACGCCACGTGGCTGCCCCCAAAGGCCCGACTCATCAAAATCACAGGGCAGGTCAAGATTCGGTGTTTTTCCGGTTAGTCTTCAGTTAACATGTTAAAGATGGAGAGGAGAGATCTTCCTGTTCTTGTTCTTCTTCCTCTTCTTCTTTTTCTTTTTCTTCTTCATTTCGTCTTCTCTTTTGTCTGTTGTTCTTCCCTCCATATCCACCTTCCCACAGAGAGAGAGAGAGAGAGAGAGAGAGAGAGAGAGAGAGAGAGAGAGAGAGCACAGAGGGGTTGTTTTGTTTGATTCTATTATTATGATGACAACAACTGTTACATAAGCTTCCATTATAGCCATGACAGTCTAAGACAGACACGGGTAAAGTTGGTAAACCAAATGCCTCCGACTCCTCCGAGTTGGAAGTGGGAAGTGGTGATGACGTCCAAAATTGTACCATGGAAAGAAAAAGAAATCGAATAGAATCCGATTGCAAAAATTTGCAATTGCCAATTGTCGTTTTTAACAAAAGGAAAAAAGGGAAAAATTGTACCATGGGAACTGACGACAGAATTAGGCCACAAACTCAAAAACAGTTGGTAAAAGGACAATTGCAATTATTACCAACGGGCGTAGCTCAGTAACTGTTGCTATACACCCATGACCTGTTGAAAGCCAGACCTGAGTTTGAATCCAGATGGAAATAGTACATGGATTAGATTCTTGAATTACCTGGAGGCTTGCTATATCCATTGCCACGAAGCCACGCGAGGTAAGTTTAGGTTTCCTTTTTTGTTCCCGTTCTTCTTCTTCTTCTTCTTCTTCTTCTTCTTCTTCTTCTTCGTTCTCCTCTTAATTTTCTTCTCTCGTCTTCTTTCTTCTTCTTCTTTCTTCTTTCTTCTTTCTTCTTCTTCTATTTCTTCTTCGTTCTTCTTGGTTCTCACTTCTTCTTCTTCTTCTTCTTCTTCGGCGTCGTCGTCTTCTTCTTCTTCTCCATCTTTTGTCCTTCTTTGTCGTTGAGATCTTGTAGCGGGGAGACGCACACAGTGCCACACACACACACACAGAGAGAGAGAGAGAGAGAGAGAGAGAGAGAGAGAGAGAGAGAGAGAGAGAGAGAGAGAGAGAGAGAGA